GCCTGAGGCCTACAGACTCTGAAAGTTGTCCAAAAAAAGCTGTATTGTAGGCCAATGATGTCTACCTGCCAGCTGCAAAAAGACCTCTGGAGGTGGACAAGGTAGATGGGACAAGGTAGGTGGGGTTCACCAGGCCAATGAAAATTCAGATTTGAGCATGTGAAGGAGGGCTCCACACAGGACAGATGGTGTCTGCTTCCCTTCTGTGCAGGAGGAGGGCTCAACACTGGGACAATGGCAGCTTTCCCTCCAGCCCTCACTCTGAAGCTGCATAACTCAGAAAGACATAACTCAGTCTCTCCCTGAATGTCTCTGGTACCTTCTGAGCTGCTGTCCCTTTATTGGAGCCCAGGGTGAGTACTTGAACATGAGAGAGTTTGTGTACAGGTCTGTTAAGATGACAAGCGGGTTTCCAGCCACCTTCTGTCTCATCCAGATGGACAAAATTCCAGCTGATTTTCACAGTCAGATTTTGTGAGGGTTGCTCTTCCCAGTACTGATGCTCCAAGCTGAGGAGCCCAATGTGGGCCTGCCCGCCCCCCCTTGCAGTTAAGGGGGAACCTCTGAAGCCAAGACATCCCTCACAATTCTCCACCACCACACATAGGTACTGAAGCAGCCCATTTCACATCTCTGCCCCTCCTACCAGTCTCAAGATGACTTCTTCTTTGTCTTTAGTTATAGGACTTCTGTATATGCAGTCTTTAGATAGTTTCCTCATAATGCATTTTCTATCCTAAGTATTATCAGGGCCTAGACTCGAAAGGGAACAAATAAAGTATTTTTCTCTCCATTCTGTGGTGTCATCCCTGCCTCTTGGCCATAAATCCCAAATGCTCTAGATCTGGGACCTGAAAACTCCTGTCAAGTGCAAGATAGTATTTCGGGCTTTGTGTAGTCAGGTGCAGGGGCAGAGGGGCAGAGGGTGTCTCTGTTGCAACTGCTCAACCCTGCTGTTACAATGCAAAAGTAGCCATAGATAATACGTAAACAGATGGACATGGCTGTGCTCCAATAAAGCTTTATTGTCAAAAAGAGACGACTAGTTAAATTTTGCCCAAAGGCCCAGCAAGGTCCCTGATTTAGATATCTGAATTGAGGAACTGCAAGGAATCCAATGAAATGCTGGAATTGTAGTGGTAGGAGAGGTGGGGGTGTGGGG